TATTTGAATCAACAGTTTTCGAAAAATAGTTGTGGAATGAACAGTTTTTGTTGAAAACAATGTTATACATTACTATGCACGTACACATTTAATATCTTATATAAATATCAAATAAACGTTTCTTGATCAATAAAATATTTACCTTCATTGCAATAAGAATTGTAAAGTTAAACTTGAGTTTTCAGCATAACGACCGTATAACAGAAAATATAATCGTCTTNCGTTCATCGCTCTGTAAAGTTAAACTTGAGTTTTCAGCATAACGACCGTATAACAGAAAATATAATCGTCTTTAATTTTGTTGGGGAAAAACTTGAATTTTAATTATAGATTTTTCGGCATAATTGATATTATGAATATTTTTCGAAATAATTAAGTCGCAGTAGCGTTTTCTCCCCGATAGCGTAGAAATGAATAATACAATATTGCTGTGAATACTAATTATCCGCCATATTTTTCAAACCGAGGGCATTATTTCGCAAATATAGTGACAGCTGAAAAAGTATTGTGGTATTTGACCCGCCGTGTTGCTTTCGACTCACAATCAGTTACCGCACACACATCATATAGATTCGATTGCTCAATTAATGCCGCAAAAGGGGGTGAGCGAAACGTGCTTAAGTACACCCGTTGTTCACGTCAAATGGAATCGAATTTGAATATTCATTTTGCTTGTTTCAAATATATTCAATAAAAACAAACAGTGGCCTTTCATTAGCCGTTTTCTCGTTTATATTTGCCGTTATTATACAGGCCGTTGTTGTTACAACAATATATTATAATATGCATTCGCCGAGCTCGATGCTCAGGGCAAGTTTTACCACAGTTGTTCATTTTTCCGTGGTAGTCGTACTTTAGACCCTCCAGGCTACTATTACATAGCCAGTTAACGGTGACGATGGCGGTTAGACATTGTTAGAATTCGTTCTGTAATATCGCGTGCATACCCCAAACTTTTTCTTTCAAAAATTCCCACTTGCCTTCCCTTCCGAAGAATTTCCTTTCGTATACTCTACTCTACCCTTTCTAGAAGCTCATCAATAAAACAATAAATAATTAATTATACCCGAGATATCTTCACAAGGTGACCTGAATTTCATCATTTTTGTTATTTACTTCAACAACAATGATCAATATACGCTATAGCATAACGTTTTGCATTACTAGTTGTAATAATAATATTATTATTATTATTGTTACTATTATTTACTATGAATATCTTACATTCCTAAAAACTTTTTAAATATTTAAAAAAATGCCATGTAATCCAACTTCGCTGCAAATGTAATACATATAACCCGATAGTAACTATATGGAAATAAATATAATGCAATTATTCGCAACGTAACATTCTATTTATTTGTGTAATGAAATTTCCAAAAATATATTTTGATGAAGGATATTGATTTTCTTAGATAATTATTAACTATTTATTAAGTTATAGCATTAAACGAATTTCTTAAAAATTTAAATATTCTTTTATGATTTTTTTTATAATTATCATAACATTATATCACATTAGTGTAATTCGAATGCCTCATTTTTTTTTTTTTAGTACAAGAACCACTTGATAGAGTTTTATAATTAATGTATTTTGGCTGTCATAAATAATACGTAATTCGCAAAAATATAATTGCGTAAATATTTTTTTGTTTTTCACAAACTTAATGAAACTTTTACCACTATTAATCTTCAAAAATCTAATTAGTGTCCACTAGCTTTGGTACGAGAAATTCTTTTTAATATATTTCCTCATAAACTACTTTAGTTAGTATGTGATGTATAATATATACCAGAAAAAAACCAACGTTTCAATTGACTGTTGTGGTACTAAATCCTTTATTTATTTTTAGACCTTTTCATCCATTAATGCTCATTAGTTTTGCTGTTTTAAACTAAACAAAGCACTTTCTATTTCTATTTATCTTTTGTGGTTTTAGTACATATGAGCTTACTACTCTTTACATCAATTTAAAGTATAAACAAATTACTCACTGTTCATTGAGTTGAAACGGATTTAACGCACCGTTTGCGAAAATTTACACTATGTTATACTTTACACATACTTTAAAAAATTGTTTGTTATACTGTCTTAAAACACCCAATTACGAGGTGTAAACGTAAAGTACCAGGACAAATGACATTACACATAGTCAATATATGATATCACAACAAATTTTTAATAATAAGATTCGCCACCTAGTACTGAGTATTAAATAAAAATTGAAGCTGCTAACTTTTCTTACTTTAATTTTACACCATTTTAAACTTAGTGAGTCGGTTTCGTTTGACGATTTCGTCATATCCAAAATAACTGGTTTCATCATGTTTTGTTTTAAAATTAGGTGAAAATTTACGGATACGTATGAAATTATATAAAATAGTTTCTGGTGATGAATTTCTAAGTTGTACAACAATTTTAGAGTGAATTAAACTTTTCAAATATTTAAGCGTTAAATTTAATTGAAATTTTACAAAGGGCAAATGTTGCTGTAGTCTTTTTGCATTTGTCAACATCAGGATAACAATAAAATTGGTGGATGATTATCTGCAAATTTATTCTACTAATCGCTATTTAACCAAAATCTTTTCATTTCACTTTTTTATGTTTTCATAGCAGAAGCGTGTTTTTTTAGTTTTTTTAAACTATATTTATTTTTTTAAATAGTTATTTTTATGTAAAGGATATATCTATTTATAATTTGCAGTGATATCATGTATAAAATTAGCACGATAGCTTAAGTCCTGGTATTTTTCCACACACGCCTTATAATATATCATTAAATATATAAAATCATGTATATTTCTATATAATAATTCCTAATCACGAGTAACCTTTAAATTAAAAATAAGTAGGGCACGTCTATTTGTGTTTTACAAGTATTCGCTTTTTTTTTTTTTGAGGGGACAGAAATTTATATATCATTTAAAACAAACAAAAAATATTAATTTTAGAGGTTTTACAAAAAATAATATAAATATAACCTGAAAGAATAATCACTTAATTATTTATTTTTAACAAGCTGGCCCCTTATAGTTTTTTGCATAGCGACTATTCAAATAGAAGTAAGTGAAATGAGAATATTCAAAAAATAACTAGCCAATAATGCTTATAATTGAAATCAATACTAATTTATTCTATTTTCTCATCGAGAAATATTTTTTAATGTAATAGACATTAGTGAAATATTATTGCATTTAGTATAAAATGAGTATTCAATAGATTTCTGTTAAAGACTTGAGAAAATGAAATTCTAAATAGGTCATATTGTTATTGTAGACTAGTGAGGCTTATTTTGTCTCGCTAAACACTGCGCGTTGGAGCCTTAAGACATAAACAGCAGGAACCCTGAAAACAACAGCGGTAGGTCTAAACACATCGGAATTGACAGAATTACTCTGTTCATGTATCCCTGTTTCTGTTCTTATTTATCTGAATCAGGTTTAAGAAACACAATAAAATCAATGATGAATTGTATCAATACATGTGAACTATTTGAATAAGATCACCGAACATAAAATATATAACTTAGTATCGCAGAAAATGTGTAAGAAAATAAATCAATCTTCGTAGGTCAAAGTTTTTATCTGACTTTCTAATTTTCTATACATCTTTGATTTTTTGATTGCAACGATAAAATATTTTTTAATGTATATTCTTTTACATCAGAATTCCAATATAATTAAAAATAATATCTCAACAATTAAGTATTGAATATGTACTTAATTTCAAAATACTAAAAGAAGAATATTCATTTAAAAATACAAATTAAAAACTTTGAGAATTAGAACTAATATTATTGTTATTATATTAATTAAAGTATAATATTATTATAATTATTATTAAAAAAAAAAGAACTTAAATTATCAAAAATTATTTGTGAATAAATAAAACAATTCAAGGGAATAAAAAAAGAATTATTTTATAAATTAAAAGATTTATTTTATTGTTCACTAAATTACAGATTGTTACGAAAATGAATGTATTTATACATTAAAATACACTGATTCATCGTCTAGGGACATAATATTTTACTATAAAAAGCATGTTAAACACTACTTTTTTAAACTACTATATTAAACATTTTGGTGTTACTATATTTTTAAAAAATAACTAGATGACCATTTTAATATTACCGTGATCCACACTAATTAATAATTTTGTGAGTATTTTTTCTTTCATAGTAAAAATAATTGATTAAAATTAAGTTCTTAATAAATCTTCAGTCATTTTTTAATGACCAATTAGGTTTACTTCGCTTTTATAATGAACTTAAAAATCAAATTACGCAAGAAACAAATGCCAATGCAAATTTATTATCTACATCTCGATAATCAAATTCAAATTTATAAAACTTGTAATGCTGACAACAATATAGAAGTTTTAAAATATTAGTAGTGAATGAAATCATTGTATTTCAACTATGACCAACGTCAATGTGTTATTTATTGTTATACTGGAAATACATCCCAAAATTAATGGTATACGTAAAATGAAAACTGTTGTCCACGCAAAAATGAAAGCTAACCAAGTTTATTACAATGTAATAAAAACAATTATAGTACTAAATATTTTTTTTAATGAAACACCATTAATTAGTAGAATATTTCATAGTATAATTTTGATTAATAGTTTCTGAACCATTGAAAAGAGCTTAACGTCGTCTACTATACACCTAACATCTCCTGACTAATTAGTTTAGAAACTCGTAGCTTTAACTGCAATTAAGAACTTTAGTTTTAAGAGTATTTTATTTTTCAGTATTTCAAGATTAAAACAAACTTTAACTAGAAGAGATTAGATTTGTTGAAGGTAAGCCGTATAGTTTGCTTGTTTATGCATTTATGCGCAAAAATGTTTAGTAAAATTAAGTATTCTCCTACACGAAAAATGTTTTCCCATAATTATTTTCAGATCCAATCATACCAAACTTATTTTACGTTTATGCTAAATAATTTAAATAACGTAAAATCTACGAGAGAATTACATTGTGACCAACCTTTACTGACTCCGGTGAATTTGTCCCTCAACAAGTTTAACTGATACACACGTCCGAATTCACCGAATAATTCCATTAAATCTTGTTCGTTCATCGCTCTGGGTATTTGTCCGACGAACATTTTAATGTAATCTGGTTCAGGTTGTTCAACATCATTGCTGTTATCAGAGGTGCACGCTGATGGCATTTCAGAGTCACTAAAAATAAAGGAAACTAATTAGTATATTATAGTAAAAATAACGAGCTAGCTCTATCAATACGTACGCATAGATAGAATTTATATGTTTTTATTTTTTTTTTTAATATTATTCTAAGATTTTACAAAGCTTAATACTTTACACAACATTAATATTAATGTCCTGTTATTTTTTATAATTATCAAGTATAATAACAATATTATTTGATTAAGCGACAAATGTATCTCGAGTTTCTGATATACTTATAATCCAAAATTTATATTCCATATTACTTTTACTTAAACTAAACCTTTAAATGTTTTCATAAGACAATTAAAAGTATTTAATCGTATTAGTCTAAAATTTTATTCCACTAAAACTTTATGTCAACATTTTATTATTTTCCGTGTCATTGAACTACGATCATTTCTGTGGTATATAACCAATACCAATGTGATAATTTAAAAGAAAAATGTTAAATTTTCAATGCACAAGTTGAGAGTTATTGAAATATGTCGATAATTTTTTTTTTTTGTTTATTGACTCTAGATATATAATACATAGTAATTTTTAATATTTATCTTTATGTTCTTAAAAATTATAGTAATAATAGGCATTCTAATATGAAATTAGTTTGGAATAAAGATTGCATGTTATAGAGAAATTCTTTGATTAAATCGTCAAAATAACGAACAAATGAATGTGTTGGACAACACATTTTGTGTGGCCACACCCCACAGTTGAGTGCTTAAACTCAACAGTAAGACGCATTTCGTTATTATCAGTTCTCGGAGTGATCAAAATGATATATTTTTGGGATTTTCTGATGTGTATTTACAATAGAGTTTACTTTATCAGATACGAGTGTTGAGAACGCCTGCTGCACGAATATGGCAACCGCATCCTTATCTACCCGCGCACACTTCAGTACCGAAATTGCATATGCATGAACGCCTCGTAATGAGTGGCCGACGACAAAATATACAATGAGCGCACAAATTTTGCTGGTCGAGTGCTTCCAAACAACAGTAACAACAATAACGTCTCACTTGTCAATAGTCACACTCATTGTCAACATTTCATAAGTTTAACACACAAAGTCTTATGCCATTCTCCGAGACCTTTGTCGTTAATATTCATCATGAGTCATAAATTTGTGACGATCAATAATTCATTGAAGATAAAAATGTATTTCGAGTTCTGATATAACCTCTATTAAGTAGAAAAATATATTTAAAAAATGGTTTACAACGTTTGTTTTTTAAACTCGAAAAATTAGTAAAAGTAGTCACATTTTATTTAGGCTAATAATTCAATTAAATTATGCAATATTTAATAAAATATTACGTCGGAATCGTCGCTAATGGAGAATCTTTTAACCGGATTACAGCTAAGTCATTATTTAAGTTTTTGAAAATGGCTACCCGTGTTACTTATTCATTGAAGTCAAACATTAACAGTCGTGATTAAATAACGTCAAATAAATAGTACGTTTAAATTATTGCTATTTGAGGATTTAGATACCTAACCTTAGGATCTAATTCACCCAACTTGCATAAATATTTTAACGTTTACCTTGTGGGAATAATTCAAAACTAAAGATAACACAACCGACATTGGCCAAATAGTACGAGAAAATAAATCAAAATTAAACTATAACATTACTATACTCGACATTTCGGAATAGTATTTAACACGTATTCATAAATATATAATACAACCATTACAAATATTACATACTTCTGTTATACAAGCACGAGTAAAATCAAACTACAATATTCAAAATATATACTATCTAGTGTACTGTCAATGAAATAAACTGTAATCTGAGTTTCCCTATAAACTTTCTATAAACTGAGTTTCTCTCGGCACAAAATTATCACAGCTGATATTTTTTATCCAGATGTGCTAAAGCGACTAAAGGGTAAAACAAAAATTGTAGCGCACTTCATTCGTTCGAATGTCAGTCCATAGGCTTTTGTACAAAAATTCAATCATGTACGAATTTCGATCTCGCAAATGCAGTTTCCGTGTACCGCTGACACAAAACCTCACGTCCCATCAATACTTTTGCCATCAAACGTGAACAGCCTATCGGTTGTGTAATCGTTCTACGTATATCGTTATCACGTGCATTTATGCATTATTCCTTTCCCATCGTATGAGGTTTCAGATATTGTGTGCGAATACATTTATTCACCCTTCTTATTTTAAATGCAAGACTCTTTGGTGGAAGTTGTATTGACATAACAGACTTTAATGAAGAACGATTTACAATTAGTTATCGAAAATAACCCGATTAAACTCCACTTGATGGTGACACGTGAATTAACCTGACTAAAGGTTTTTAGTTTTAGAGAAAAATGCTTCGTCATGATATTCCCCTTAGTTTCGTATGACGATTCTTATATGAATACACATACTGCCAGTTTAAACAAATTTACAAAGAATTATTGCAATCTTTTACTTATTTATGCTTTTAATACAACTGTACAAAGTATTGGTGTTAGAGATAACGTTTGTCAGTTTCAAGATGTGAATAATTCTTGATGGTAAGAGAAGAATCCAAAAAATAAACAATCATCAAAGATTCTAGTAAATAAAATAATTGCTGAAGTTCAAGACAGTTTACAAAGTCATTAAGTTTCCCTAACGAGAGTTCGAAAAAACAGGCCGAGAGACAGCTTTCTGTTAATAACCACACTAAACAGCTTCTAAGAAATATTTTAATGACTTGTCAGGTACACTTCTTCTTGCTCTAAATACGAGTAACGAAAATAAACAACAAAAATAAAAACCCAAATCCTATAAGCGAAAGGTACTCTAAGTAACAGAGTAACTTTGATTTTTATACTTTCAGTTTCAGCATCAGTTATACCAATTTTAAAGTTGCCAATCTGGCACATTGTTCTAACAAATATTATTTTATCATACCTTAAACAGCTTAAAAATATTTTTAAAAACAATACAATTTGATACAAATAATTTGGCTAAAAAAATTATGAAAAACACCAAACGAAATGCAACAAATTATATGTCTTTATTGAATTTTTAGTGACTTTTATTGAGACTTTAATTAATTTAAAATTTGGTTTCTTTATCTGACATAACAAAAAATATCTTATTGTCTGAGTATTTAGATAAAAAAAAAAAAATGATTTTATAAAATTTAAAGTAAAAAAAAAAAAAATTGATAATTTAATGTATAAACATTGATTTCTTTTGTTCCAATGTAACAATAAACAATTAATGGCATAGGAAACTATAATTTTTTCTCTACCAGCACATGAATACTTCTTTTTAATAACATTTTTAATGTACATCTAGCTAATAAAAATCATTTATTTTATATTTTATATCTTTAAGCTATTTTAACTATTCTTTGAGTAAAAATTTTTATATTACTTTAATTGTTTGCCCGATGAGTCATTTAACGTAACATCAAATAACTTATAATTAGGTACAATATTTCTACTTTACATGGGGTCTTCGCCGTACCCTCTATTATATAAAAACAAATGTTTACTCAAGTTTCTATCATTAAATTATATTGAGTCATTTGAAAACAAGGTGAAAAATGAATAAAGAACAACTTTCATTAGAACTTTTATTATTTTAGTATGGCGATAATTAAAGTGAATTTTTAGTAGCGAATGCAAATTTGCTGATGTTAATTAAACCAAAAACTATAAAATTAAAGTGTAACTTTAATCCTCCAAGAAGTTTAGAAGAAATTATTTTTATTTTTACAACATGACAATAATTACTATCATCGTTTTAAACGTTGCAAATCTTTAAAGCAATTCATTAATTAAATATCACATTTGCATAACGGTGAGTATAATTTTTTCTGTAAAGTTAACATTTACATTTGTAAACTTTATTTTAAGCTAAATTTTTTCATGAAATAAGATACAAAATAAAAATTAAAACAGAAACTGCAGGCAGTATTTTTAATTGATGAAAGTTGAGATTATAATTTTAGTTTTAGTAAGTCTTTCAGAAACTCAATTTTTTAGAAATTTAAATTTATTATACAAATTTATTTATGTTACCTGATCGACAAATTCATTTTTAAATAAATGATATATTTAAACATTGTCTGAGTGTTTTGTTGTCAATGTAAAATGTAATATAATACATTACCCTATGCATTTAAAAATCTCTGAATGTAAGATTTTCACATATATTGTTTACTCGTAGCTCCATATTATAGAAGTAAGAGTATTGTTTCTTCAGAAACATTTGTTACACATGTATGTAAGTTTGGTAAAGTTACTACAGTAGTAACCGTTGATAATATGATAACATATTTCGACCGATCAACTTTAAGCGGAGTTTTTTGATTTATTGAATGAAAAACAAAAAAATCATATTGTAACATAATTTGGTTCTTATGCACCCCAAACACTGTCCCTTTCAGATAGTTTTTTTGTAACAGCGGTCATTTCGAAATACAGTCATGCACGTCGCGTAAAAATAGATTTAAGTTTTCTTCTGAAAACTACCAAGTTACCCATATTTCCGATAAAAATTATTAGTTTTCTGTCATTGCTATTGTTGGACAAACTAAAATTACCTATTTACAAGTTACACAATACCCTAAATGAAAAGTTTTTTCCTTTAAAACTCGTTGGTATTCATGGCTAGTGCCCGTTAAAAAACAAGATATTTCTATTTTACCATTTTGTTTTTTCCTAGTAGTCTAAAGATGTAGTTTAATTGAAAATGTTATTTTATACAATAGAAACTCAATTTATGTTTTTCTGTATTTAAATCACAAAATCGATACTTCACGATATATAAAAATACAACAGATGATATTTTATTGTCATTGTATAAAATAAATAAAAATTACTGTTTTTTTTTATTATTAGCTTTTATTATGAAAACATTATAGCTTGATAATTATAAATTACTGTTAAAGACCAGTATTATTGGTTATTATTTTATGCGTAAATTGTATTTAAATAAAAATTTGGAATAAAATGAATCTTAATGCTTAATGTGCACTTATAAATAAATTAACCACAGAATTAAGAAGAT